GACTGAAGAAGAATTGATGCCTTTGAATTATGGTATTGGAGAAGAATACTGAATATACTATGGACTGGCAGGAGAACAAACAAATCTTTTCTGGAAGACATACAGCCAGAATGCACCTTAGAAGGGAGGATGAGGAGACTTCGTCTTAAGTACTTTGGACATGGTATCAGGAGGGACCAGATCCTGGAGATGGACGTCATGCTGAGTAAAGCTGAAGGTCAGGGAAAAAGAGGAAGACCCTCAGCGCGATGGATTGACACAATGGCTGCGACAATGGGCTCAAGCATAACAGTGATTGTGAGGATGGCACAGGACTAGGCAGTGTTTCGTTCTGTTGTACATAGGGTCACTATGAGTCAGAATCGACTCGACAGCACCTAACGACAACAACAACCTAAGAAGGGGAAACTGAGTCTCAAATAAGTTAAATAACTATTTCCAAGATCACACACAGCTGAATAAGTAACCAAACTGGGATTTGAACCACATCTGTTTTATGCCAGAGCATACCCACTTTCCTTTACCCCAAACACCCAGATGGTAGAAAAAGTTTTTTCAGAACTCTCAGATGTGATTAAAGACTCACAGGAAGAAACTCCATCTGGAGCAATCTGTCTCTACAAGACCTATTATGAGAGGCCTTTGGATACTTGGAGCTTAAATCATGCCTCCCAGAACATTAGCCTGAGGCAGTCCTGCCCATAGTACTACTAACATAGAATCACAGATTTAAGACAAAGAGTTCTGCTGATCCGCATTGGGTCCTTAGGAGCAAAGAAAAAAATTCAGTTGTTATGTGTTAAGTGAAGTCATATTACTGAATTTATGGTAAATGGACAGTCATTATCCCGCGTTTGGCCATTTCACGCCAATGCATTTTTTAGCCTTTGTTTAATCTCCCCAGATTAAAATGTAATATATTTTATAAATATAAGCATATATTTTATAATGTAAAACATTAATCTCATCCATGATAATTTTTATATCTACTAGTTAGAACTCCGTGTGATGTGGTAGTAAAAACAGATAAGATTACTTCACTCCTTTCAACTAAACTGTGATCTCTCTTTACCCTGGATGATCACTTGGGCTGAGTTCAAAGCAGGCTTCTAACTGGCTTGTTCTGGTTCAAACTCCCGCTGAGGATTGGCATTTCCACCCAAGATACACTAGATTTTTTTGTGGGGCCCCCCCAAACTGGTCCCTAACCACCAGCATTAGCAGTGCCCGAGAACTTGTCGGAAATGCAAATTCTCAGCAGGGATTTGAACCAGAATGAAGGGGTGGGAAGCCCTGGTTCAAAGAAAACAATTTTACTCTCATTGTTGCTTAAAATGACTGAGTAGGTGGAGAAACATGATGGGATCATTAAGGAGAAACCCAGGATTCTTGATAAATGCAGCGATTATAATTTGAATTGTGAGTAATTAAGAGGAGACTGTAAGAAAGGATTTAAAATGATACAGACACTGGATAGGATTGGAATTTTATTTTTTCCTCCTGCTTTACAAATTAATCCTATTTATTAGTTTTATTATTTTATATTTCAATAAAGCACACACACATGGTTTAACATCACACTTCTGTCTTTATTTTCCTAAAGAGGATGCCACAGTTAAGTCTTAAGTTTCAGGCTCCACAAAAAAATCTGGACCCTCAATACATGATGCCAGAAGACTTAAAACCAAAACCACTGTTGCACGTTCCACCCCCTCTTCTCATCCCAGGCCTGCTCCCCAGAAGCAAACACTTTGAACTCTTTTAGTTTTTTTTTTTTTGATAGTTTACTTCCTTACCTCTAAGTGAAATGTTAGATCTGCTATTTTTTTTAAACAGCCTTTTGTGTTTTTGGAGATGTAATTCACATGCCATACAATTCACCCATTTAAAGCGTACAATTCAATGGTTTTTAGTGTACTCAGAATTGTGCAACCATGACTGCTATTTTCTTAATTTGTTTATCGATTTCAGATATTATCCTAACTCCATAACGATAAGTGAAGTTTTAGCTCTATCACTCTCCCCTCTCCCATCCTTCTAATCTGGTAGCCATTTTAGTTACATAAACAAATGATGTTTACGTTACTGTGACTACGTGCATGTTGTTCACTACAGAACCTAGTTGTATATTGTGCTATGATTATAGCTCCTTTCTTGTATAATAGTTTTATTTTTTCTGGAGCTTTTGTTTCTTTTTTATTGTTTAATTTCACTAGCTTCCTATTATAATGCTAATTTTTCCTCTCAAATCTCCGTAAAATCAAGTATTCGGTCAAGTTCCTTCCCCGCCCCCCTCCACAGGAGATCTCTCTCCCAGAACACCATGTTCTCTTGCTTCCGGCTGCGTGTGTTGCTGTCTAGGCTTGCTGCATGGCTGTCATCCTGGGACTTCTCTTAGGGGTTGGATCTGTTTCCTGGGTGGCATGTCTTCTTTTTTAACATATCCTTATTTTGCTGAGTACATACTTACGAGAGGAGGTTGGAAGGTATGTATCCTTCCATGTCTGAAAACTCTCCTTATTGCACCCTTTGATTGTTTTTATATATATAAATTTCTAGGTTTGAAATAATTTTTTACTCACTTTGAAGGCTTTGTTTTTTGGCATCATTTACTGCTGTTAAGTGCCATTTTGAGTCTTTTTAGGTGACATTTCTGGAAAACGTTAGAAAAATGTTAGGAGCTTCTCTTTTACAGCTTGTGTTTTTGAAGTTCATGATGACGTGCCTTGATGTAGTTCTTTTTCTCATACATTGTGCTTGACACTTGATGTACTCTTTTAATTTGGACACTGTGTTCTGCAGCTTTGGGGATATTGTGTTGATTTATTTCCTTGTTAATTTCCCCTCTTCCCTTTGCAATGTTTCTATTTTCTCTTTCTAGAATTCCTGTTGGTCAGATACTGGACCTCTTGGACTGACTATTTCTCTTACTTTCTGTTTGTCTTTCTTTTTCCTGCTTACGAGAGATTTCTTGACTTTTTCTTGTAACCTTTCATTTTTTTTTTTTAAAAATTACCAATCATATTTTAATTTCCAATAATTCTTTATTATATTCTGGTTGTTCTTTTTTTACAGCATCTTTTAGTATGGGTGCAATATTGTATTGCTTTTTAAATTTTAAATATTTTTCTGTTTTTCCAAGATAATTTTTATCTCTTTTTTTTTTTTTTTGGATGAAACAGATGATGCAGGAAAGCTTTCCTCAGATGCCTAGTGATCCTTGGCAACCTGACATATTGAAGGATGAAGCATTAGAAAGACAATTGAGAGCTCTGTACATGGATGGAAATTATCAACTGGTAGACTCTGCTTCAGAGTGATTGGGAGCTGGCCATTTTGCTGAGAATTTTCCAAATGCCTGAAAGTGGCCCATTTGATTTTTCTAGGGAAGAAATTTATGATCTGCATTTTCCCACATTACAGAAAACTTTCTAAAGATAGTTTTTAATTTGCTTAACCATTTCTTTTTTTTGGACATTTCACGTGTATCCAGTTTTCCACTTTTAAAGACACGGCAATGAACATTTTTGTGCATAAATCTTTGTTCACACTTGGAATTATTTCTTTAGGGTACGTTTCTAGAATTGGATTAAGGAATATAAACATTGCTTATTCATACTGCCAAATTATTTTTCATAAAGAGTGTACTAATTTAAACTTCCACCAACAGTGCACGAGAGTATTCATCTCATCATACTCTCCCAGCATCATTATTCTTTACAAAATTTTTTTTTGCTAATTTGATAATTTAAAAAGATCTTTTTTATTTGTATTGTTTTGATTATTAGCAAGTGTCTTAGTGTGGGTTTTCTAGTGGAGCAAAACCAGTGAAACACACATATAAATATGTATAGAGAAATTTCCTTCAAGATAATGGCTCATGTAATTGTGGTGGCTGGCAAGTCCCAAATCCATGGGTCTGGTTCCAGGCTGGGGGCTTCTCCTGGCTCACCAGGTTGCAGGGGCTGGTGAATCCAAAATCTGCAGGTCAGGTGGCAAGAAGAGTGCAGGGTTGAGAGAGAGAAAGAGAGAGAGCACGCGCTTTGCCGGAACATTCATTATATACTGGAGGCAGGCCACACCCCCAAGGAAACTCCCCTTTCAGCTGATAAGCTGATCACATCATGGAACGTAATTACATTATATTACATATGGAAGAGCACTCAGTCCAGTGTCTGCCAAACCACTAAGAATCACATACTAGCCAAGTTGACGCATAACATTAACCATCATGACAAGGCTGAGTTTTTTTGCTTATTAGCCCTTTTATATATCTTCATATATGAATTGTCAATTTCTGTTCTTTGTCCATTTAACTCTTGACACCTACCTTAGTGTTTAGTGTTTTTCTTAGTAATCTATTCTATTATACTCTTCAAATATTAAGGTTTTTAAGCCTCTATCATATTTTTATCAAATATTTCTCCACATTTTTCTTTGCTCTAAAGTTTTAATTTTTGACACACAAAAGTTTTAAATTTTAAATATTTTAATTTACTTATATTTTCCTTTGTATTTTTTACTGCCTTTAACCCTAGAAGATTAAAACCCAATGATCAAGTAGGTATTCTCTTATTTTTTCCTCTAATTCAATATTTAAAGAAATATTTTACTTCTTGATTCACCTATGGTTTATTTTGGTACATGGTGTAACATAGTTAATTTGACCATTCCCCTGAGTAGTTATTTTTTTCTCAGTTCCTTTCTTTGGAACTGGGTGGTGTAAGTGGTTTGTGATTGGCTGCTAACCTAAAGGTTGGTGGTTCTAACCCATCCAATGGCTCCATGGAAGAAAGGCCTGGTGAACTGCTTCCATAAAGATTAGTCAAGAAAACTCTTTGAAGCAGTTCTACTCTGTAACACATGAGGTCGCCATGAGTTGGAATCAACTTAATAGCAAAGGGTTTGGTTTAGTTTTTTTCTCTACTTATTTTTTAAAAATCGTATCTTTAATTCTGATTAAATCTAATTTTTCTTTTTTCTTTTTTTTCTTTTTGCAGATCCTGTTTCTGGTAAATTTGTAAGGAAATGGTAAGGCTATAGCTATAGTACTATTCTCATAGACCTAAACTGGTAGACCAGCCTAGCTGGATGGGGCAGACTCAATCTCGGGTATTTAAAATGAAAGTCTATCTTGGGATTTCTGAGGGGATTCCTATACTTTTTCTTTGTCACAAGGCCCCTTTCCAATCAGAGTTCCTATGGGAAAAGGGAAAAAGGAAGATAAAGTGATTATAATTGAGGCAGGGAAGAAGACTGAGATGTAGGAGAACTCTCCTTACATTCACTGAGTTTTGACTTGTTGGCTACAAGTGCTTTGTTACATGCTAGGTCTGAACATTTACAGGCTGAGGATTCTGCATTGGCAGTCGCGTATCACAGATTTTGTGAAGCTTCAGGTCAGTATATCCCAGTCTCCCCTTGCCTCTAAGTACAGCAAAACATTTCTTCTTTGAAATTTCAAGAAAATGTCCTCCATGGAAAAAAAAAGAGAAAATAATGTGTGTGTTACACACATACATACACACACACACACACACACACAAAAGAAATGTCCCCTGAAAAATAGATGTTTACCCTTAGTTTGTAGAAAATGAAGTTAGGAGAGGAAACAGAGTAGGATCATTAAGGAGACATACTAACGGTTTGTATCAATGGTTCATGTAGATGAGAATAATCTTTTATCCATTCTTTTACTAGGTGAGTTAAAACCATTCATATTTATTGTTATTGTTTAACCCATTTACATTTACTGTATTATTTAGACTTATTTTGTATTTTATATTTACCACACATTCGTTGTTTTTTTCCTCCCCTTTCATCCAGTAATTACTACTACCTTGTCTTTGTGTAATGCTTTTCAGTTCTAAAAAAATATTTTCACACAAGAATCCTCAAAAGTTGGTAAGGCAGATTTAATCAACTAGATTTTACTGAAAGTAAAATTCAGAGAAATTATGTCATGTTTCCAAGATTGTATGGTGACTGAGTGGGATTATTATCTCCACTCAGAAATACCACATTATGTCAAACACATAAGGTATGCTGAGTGAGCAAACACTCCTGTGACTGAGTAGCATTGAAACTTCTTCATACCTTTTAAGTTTTTATACTTAAAAAAAAGGCTGTAGAGAGAGTGTTGGTTTTTTGTGTTTTGTTTTTGTTTTAGTTTTTTTTTTACTACTTCTTGATTTTGTTTGATTGATTAATGATTTGGGTTTGATTCTACGAGGAAATTGTGCTATCTCCATTATCTACTCCTATCTGCATCCTCTAAAAAATTCTTCTTTAGTACACAAAATGTGCCATGTCGTAGGAAGCTGATGATAGGGAACACAAAATAGAGTAAGGATATTGTTGATGTGTTGTGAGATTGTTAACCATTGTCATAGGGCAACATTTGTAGTAAC